GAAGAGGAAGATGTAGGGGAGGAAGAGGAGGAAGAGATGGAGGAGGAGAGAAGCAGAAGGAGAAAAAGGAACAGATTAGACTTTATGGAACCTAAGCATATCTTTCCTTCTACTCCTTCTGCTTTTTGACATATCATTTAGTCTCTTTAAATCTCAATTTCTTCTTTTATAATATGAATTAGACTAGGAGTTGTTAATATGGGTCTCCTAAATGAGTTTCAGAGGGTTCTTGGGTGCACTGAAATGATGTTCAAAATCTTATGAATGAATAAGCACAGGTGTGCATCTTCCAAAGGAGGGTCTGCAGTTTGTGTCAGTTTTCCAAAGATTCAACAATCTGAAAAAAAAAAAAAACACTAAATTAAATCTTTAAAGTCAGCTCAAAAATTCCCTAGTTCTCTAAATCTACGTCTAACATAAACTCTGAGTTCCAGACTGTCATATTGTCAACTTGTGTAAAACTTATAGACTAGTCATTTTTAAAAATAGTGTCACCTAATATGAATGTCTATTGATTCTTTGCATGGTAATGGCTTCCTAAACCAAGTACTGAAGGCCACACCAAGGTAGGGTGAACTTTTAATTTATCATCCCCATCAGAACAGTTTGAGAATAAAAGAAGGTACTACCTAGATGCACCTCAGGATAGGGGACTGAATGGAGAGCTATCCTGGGCAAACCCAATTGTCCTCCTAAATAACAAGCAAGCACTTCTGATGTCCAGCTGAAGGCCAGTTCTACTCAAAGCTTGAGTCAGTTCCCAACTTCAAGTGACAGTTTCACACTGACCAGGTTATTTTGGCCACAGTGCCCCCACATGACTCATAAGTGGTGAGGACTTATTCTTTTTTGGAGTGACCAAACACTAAGGGGCCTTGATAGAAGGATGCTTGTTACTAAAGGTGACAGACAGGAACTGGGGGATTGTCCCCTGGAGAATGCTAATGGAGCCCTGGGCAGGCCGCACAAGGTGTTTGCAGTTTTGTGTGATCACCCCCAGGGCTCAGTATGCTTTTTGAACTCTGAAAACCAGATCTGGTGGCACATTCAGAAGCCAATGGGCTCTAGAGAAAAATAAAATGATGATTCACAGAAGAAACTTAAAGGTGAATAAATAATATGGAAAAGTGACCCTCATAGTAATCAGGAAAATGTACATTAACACAAGGTGATATAACTGTTTGATAATGGGACTAGCAAAATGTATTAGCAATAGCTAATACGAGGAAGAAGAGTATAACATTTTAAATCTATAAACCTCCGTGTCTTTTAATTAACTATATTCATGTGTTATGTAATTTGGACAAAGTTAAAGGAAAAATAGAACAAATATGAAGATTGGTAGAGAGCAAAAGAAAAAGAATTGAAGAAGAAGTAGAGAAGAACAGAAAAGGGGACAGAGTGATAGGATGGAGTCTTTGAAAGAACATGGACAGAGAGGAATTCCTGGCGACTGAGTAGTGATAGACATACGAAATCCATTTTTAAGTATTTCCATGTCTGATATAAAACTCGCTTTTTAACTCCCAGATGTAAAGTCTGACACTCAAAAAGGCCTTTTGTACCTGGTCTTGGAATAGGAGGAATCAAAGAGGAGAGAGAAGATCAAGATTAGAAACAATTTTTTTTAAAGTCAAAAATTCAAGGTATTAGTCAACTAGTCAACATTCCATTAATGTCACAAAATAACTGAGAAAATCAACTTAAAAGGAAGAAAGATTCATTTTGTCTCCATGGTTTGAGAAGTTTTAGTTCATGGTCACTGGACCCTGTTGCATTTGGGCCTGTAGAGAGGCAAAACATCATAGCAAGAGCACATGGTATCCTGATTTTAAGTCCTTTGGGTATAAACCAAGGAGTAGGATAGCTGGGTCAAGTGATGGTTCCATTCCAAGTTTTATGAGCAATCACCATACTGCTTTCCATAATGGTTGCACCAATTTGCAGTCCCACCAGCAATGTATAAGTGTGCCTTTTTCACCACATCCTCACCAACATTTATTGTTGTGTGTTCTTGATGATTGCCATTCTGACAGGAGTGAGATGAAATCTTAGAGTACTTTTGATTAGTGACACAGTCACATCAATGTTTATAGCAGCTCAATTCATAATAGCTAGATTATGGAACCAACCTAGGTGTCCCTCAATAGATGAATAGATAATGGGTGGGAGGGAAAGGGAGAGGACAGGGGATTAGCAAGGATGGTGGAATGTGATGGTCATCATTATACAAAGTACATGTATGAAGACTTGAATTGGATGTCAACTACTTTATATACAAACAGAGATTTAAAAATCATGGTATATACATGTATTGAGAATTGTAATGCAAAAAAAAAAAAAGAATAGTGTCACCTTAGTTCAGGTAGAGGGAAGTGAAAGGAGGGGAAGACAGGGGATAAGAAAGATAGTAGAATGAAACAGACATTATTACTGTATGTATATATGTGACTGTATGACCAATGTGATTCTACAATATATATATACTCAGAAAAGTGAGAAATTATATCCCATCTATGTATGATATATCAAAGTATATAAGTGAATTCTACTGTCATGTCTAAATAATTAAAACAAATAAAAAATTTAAAAATTTAAAAAGTTGAACCAGAAAAAAAAATGTGGTATATATACTCAATGGAGTATTACTCAACTTTAAAGAAGAGTGAAATTATGGCATTTGTCAATAAATGGTTGGAGTTGGAGAATATCAGGCTAAGCAAAATAAGCCAATCCCACAAAACCAAAGGCTGAATGTTTTCTCTAATATGCAGATGGTAATTCACAATGGGGGGGGGCACTAAGGAAGAATAGGGTTACTTTAGATTAGGTAGAGGGAAGTGATGGGAGAGGAGGGGAGGGGATGTGGGGATAGGAAAGATAGTCGAATAGAACAGACATTATTTTATGACCAATATGATTCTGCAACATGTACACTCAGAAAATGAAATTATATCCCATCTATGTGTGATATATCAAGTGCATACATGTATTCTACTGTCATGTATAACCAATTAAAACAAATTTAAAAATTAAAAGAAAAAGAAGAGCACATGGTAGAGGAAGTTGCTTGCTTCATAGCAGCCTGTAAGCAAAGACAGAGAGAAGGAAGGACCTAGTCCCAATATCCCCTACAAGGACACGCCCCCAATGACCTAACTTCCTCCCTCTGGGCCCCACCTTCTACAGTTTCCATAGTCTCCCAACAGCATCCAGGATGGTGCCCAATCTGTAACACATGGGCCTTTGGGGGATGTTCTAAATCCAAACTGTAGCATTCAGGAAGGGCAAAAGTCAGAGCCAGGGTGACCATGAGAACCCAAGCTCCCGGGAACTTACAGAAACCTTGAGGACTTTCCACAGAATGTAGGAGAGGAAATTGGTGGCAATTTTGGTTCATTAAAAAACAACCAAATGACCCAAGCTGATAACAGAGTGATAAACAGTTATATAAGAACCTTATTATCCACTATTCCACCTTTGGCCTGAGCGACACTGTCTCTTTCAGAGGAGTTTGCTCATTTATTCTTTAATCTGTTATATATTGAAGTTTTGTTTTAATTCCTGGAGGGTAATCTTATTTACAGGTCCTGGGACTATACCTCTCAATTGTCCCCATATACCAATCATAAAGTGCAAACATTTGCCATGATTAATAGCTTTTATTTTCTGATGCCTAAAAGACCAAAACCTTGGGCAAGTTAATGGAATCACTTGAAGCCCAGGTCTCACTGGTACTTTCAGGTATTTATTTGGATCTTGAAACATTGCAAATGGAGACTACAACCTGGTGTTTGAATATAATAT